TTCGGTGCATTAAAGTTTTTCGAATGACATTGATGAATATCAATGCTTACTATCATCAAGAGATGTAACTTTTTGTGTACCCACATTCACAAAGTACTGTCAATTTTTTGTTATTGATAGATATTTCAAAATCTGCGAAAATTTCAGCTGAAAAAGTATTGAAAACCATTCCTTTCTTTCTCATATTAAATATTTTTTATGATAAAAAGAAAACTGAAGTCATTCGCCTTCTTGATTTGAGATCAGCGATTATTATTTTATTTCATTTACAGATCTTCAGAGAACAAAATCATATGTTTAGATTGCTTGATAACTCAAATGAAGAATTCACAATCGAATCCATTAGCCAGATATTGTTTTTCTTTGAATTCGGTAACAAATTATTTGATATTTTATTAAAGGCTTTCATTTCGATGAAATAGTCTTGTTGGCTTTCAACACTATGCATATTCGAATCAATTTCAATTCATCAAACAATTTTATTTCAATAATAAAGAATAAGCTTTATAGACGACTGATAAGGAAACAGTTAAGCATTTTTAAACTTGATTTGCAACTTGTTTGCTCTCCATACTTTTCATTTCAAGAAAAAAAAGGATGACGAGTATCGATTTGATCGATAACCGTAGTCCCGTAGGACTAAATGTGATGCTTCAGTCTCATAACATTGAGTTGTGTTTGGCCATCGATCGCGGCTCGTCGTTCTTCCTCTTTATTTCTCTTCTATTCAAGGTGCAACAAGTTACAAGTTGTGCAATATTCTTCTTTCCTTGTCTGTATGTCAACACTCAGTATGAGTATTGCGAAAGTATACAGAGACACAGAAAAAAATTATTTAATGAAGAGTTTTGATGTTCATCCTTTGGTAGCATTCAATTGATATTTTACTTTCGAACCTTTCATTCGAATCGAATGAGTCAATGCCACTCTTTGCCTTTACAGGTAATTAATGTTGAAGAAGGTATTACACGTCTTCATCCTTACTTTTAAGTTGCAGCCAAGATGTTCAATTTTTCTTAGATAGACTGGAAATTCAAAAATGTTTAAGGGATACCAAAATCAGGGACGCTGAAACTATAAAATCTTATAGAAAACTCAATGAAGTTTTTCTTTCTACTTATACTAGTAGGCCAAATCGAACATCATAATTCTAGAAGATTTAATTATGCTTCATATGACATTATAATAGCTAAGTTTCGATGTGTTAAATTTTGCTATTAATTTTTAAAAACCTTTCTTCTTGAGAATACAAAATATTGAATTTTTCAAGATCCCTCATATCTTACGAAGGGTGCGAGAATCTTAGATTTTTGAAAATTTCATAGCTCTTAAAGGAAATATTCGTATGGGCTGTAATTTTTCAACACATCTAGTTACAAGTAGATCTATTTGTGAGTGAAGTCTCAGGTTGAAACATTGTCGCTGGATTTATCGATGTGTACCATGTTATGGCCTAAAATTCTAGCAAAAGGGCTATAACTTAGAAGAGAGGGTCTAAAAGCACTTCTTTAAAGAGTTTTTATATTTCACTAAGGTCTACTTTACGCATAGACACTGTAGTCGAGAATGATTTATCACTTGAAATAGTTGTCTTGAGGATGTGAGGTGTGGGTGTGTGTTCATATTAAGAATATCGTCTCTTGCAGCTACACCCACACCCTAGCACGAACAATCAATTACTTTATTCTATTGCCGCTAGTGTTCAATATTTGAGAATAGGTAGCATACTCCTGTTTCAAATATTATGACGAGAATATGAAAAAAATTTAAAGACTTAAATGTAAAGAGATAGTTATTCCCCTGTAATTTTTTGCACCAAAGTAGGCTTTTCATTTCATTTCTTCTCACAGTATTATCATTACGAGTTATGGTTTTGTAGCTTTTATTTTTTCAATAATAATCAACTATAAAATAATGACTTTTGTCAACTATCATGCATAAATATGTACCTAAAATTCTTCATATTATCTAATTCGGAACAGTTTTGCTCAAAACTGCTCTTCGGTTGACTTTTTTTTGGTATTTTTAGCACCAGTATTCATTATTTCGTAGACTAGTATCAACAAAACTTGGTCAGCAATAGTGCCGAAGCATTATAGCGTTATTGATCACTCACTTCTGATTCAACTTTACGTCACTTGAGTATAGACCATGCTGTTCACAACAAGAGTAAGACGGAAGATACAGAGAAAATAAGCTGTTTAGTCTCTACGCATGACTAATGGGATGCAAACAACAGGCATCATCTTTTCCGAGAGCTGAGGGGCAACCGTTTCATGTCTACATTAGTCGAGCCCAAATATAAAAATATCAAGAAAATGTGAATGCGCGTGCCACAATCAAAATAAGGAAAATAAAATGGTATTCAGTACTGATTTGAGCCGTCATCAATTAACTAGGCACTAATCTATTTGTAGAATCTTGTGCTGTTTTTCAACAATTGGTTATTTGTTTTCATGGGGTGTGGGTGTGGTGGGTGTAGACGCGGAGAAAGAAGATCCACACCCACACCTACACCCATATACTTGTTGAGTGTAGGAATCCTTAAATCTATATATATATTACAATATCTGTATGATAAATAAAGAAATTATAGAAATTTCTTGGTAGTTTCGCCCGCATGTGCTCTTAGGTTGCGTTATTGCTGATAAATTTCCATCGGTCGATTCGGTATTTACGGAAATTATCCAGTAATGTGCTGCAATAGTATGGGTAATTACTGAAGTTTCCGAGAAATTTCTTTTATGTTGTGGTGGTAATTTTTGAAATTTCGAGGAAGGTTATTTGTCATTTGTTTGAAATTTGGGAAATTCCGCAGAGATTTCTTTCTGACGGAATGGTAATTACTGGGTTTTCTCAGAATTTTCTCTTGTTGTGTACGAGTCTGTGACGATGCTATGAGTGTTGGTTTGGTAATTTCGGAAATCTGAACATACCTCGTTTCATTGCCAGTTATCAGGGTGTGAGCAGGTATCGATGTGGATGAAAATAAGTAACGCATCCAGATTCTCGAACTATAATCTAGACTGACGTGAGTTCTTCTAAACTTTTGACACGTTGTATGCGAAAAAAATAGCTGAAAGTTCGAGTTGAGCTAATTAATCAGCATTGTATAAAATAGGTTGGTACAGCATTCAGCAAACGTTGACTATTAGCGGTGTTTTGCCAAATAGTAGCGACGCATTCATGAGCAGATGCTTTGCTTATTTGTCTCAAAAAAAGTTCTCAAACTCTAATACTTGATCAAGTGCAAAATTAAAAACTATTGAAACTTTGAAATAGTTTTGGCAAACAAGCTATTTAGTAAATATCTGCCAAAACTTTCCAGAATGGACATGAAATTTTGGATGATTTGCACTTTTTATGGGTGGGTAGAAGAAAAGTTGGAGGTTCTATGAATATGTTCTCGACTTAAAGTGGAATTCATAGCTAAACAGTTTTTATTTGATTCAATCTAAAAAACTATCTTGTTATATCGTCGATATTTGTACATCAGAAAAGAATCAGAGCTGAAGATATCCTCCGCCAAAATTGAAAACCGAACTATTTCGAGACGTACGCATACTTGTTAAGAAAGTAGCTGACTTAACTTATTTCTCAATAAATTCAAAATTTGGTTGAAAAATATCATAAGCATCCAAGTACTTCATTGTAAGAAGGTGCCATAGGTACAGACAAGCATTCTTAGTTATTTAAAAAGCTACTCAGTTAGAGAATCTATGCATACGTACATAGGATATAAAAACATAGAACGAATTATGATTATTGTATGCGATAGCCGTAAATGGTACTGGTGCAGGGTGCATCATGCTGATTTGCTACTAACATAATGTTCGACTGGCATCGATTGAAGTTTTTAAACAATGGAAGACAATTGATAATCTAATGTTGATCACTAGTTGCAATTGGTTCCATATTAGGTTGATGTATCACAACAGAAAAAATAACTAAGACAGTTAAGCGGTTATAACGTGTTTAATAATAAAACATGTCTAACTAGTTTAAACACGTTTTCAGGGACATACCACACTGATTAAACAGTTGAAACTCATGGTGTTTAAATATCGTTTTTTTCGTTCACTTCTCTGCCTATAATCGTCTGTGCTACTCACAAGACAGTTGCTATCATCATCATCATCAACAAAATGTGATAAAATGTGTGTAATATTCATTGGTTTCTATCTCGTACTGATTGAATTGCTATAAATATGACAGTGATTGTATTTACGAGAAAAATTACTATGAATCACATAGATGAGATAAAATCTGAAAATTTCAGGATGATTTGCTGATGACGTAGCGTTGCCCTCTAACTTGAAAATTCAATATCTCAGTAAAGAAGAGCTATGGTCACGAATTCTTCTAGGATTGTGCTACTCTAGAGGTGTCTTCTAGATGCCAAAAGTATGAACTCAAAAGCGATTAATCACTTCGGACGATTACCTCTTCAGTATAAGAAAATTCAAGCAACTGTAAATTCGATATTCTGAAACATACAGAAATTAAATTAGTGACATACTGCGATATATCCTCAATAATATTTATTTCTGTTGTACTCTTTATTTTTTACAGTGCTCTCTGATATAAAATTCACTTTGAGAAAAACCCGTATTGAATAATATCTAACTAAAAATTTATGTAAAATTCGATGAAAATATACGGAGCTCAGTGACTCATCGAGAGAGATTTTCACTGGTCGATGTGTTCTATGAAGTAATACAAATAGTTTCATAATTGCATTTGATATTTTCTACTCCATTCATATTAATAAAAAGCAAGTGTTTCGAAACACGTACTGCGAGCTGTGATTCAGGCCTATGTTAAGAAATGAATCATTGTCTGATTACATTGATAATGAGTCAGTTATCTCAACAAGAGCACGTTATCGATTATATGATGCAATGATTGTTTTGCGTTTCTTGTGCATATAAAGCCTGATATACTTGTACTTCCTTTCGATGTTTTTTCTCTTTTTCAACTGATACTGTGACATAAAAAACATGCTACCTGCTTCTCAATCTACAACGCCAGAAAATACTGTTGATGATTGTATCATATGTTTGAGTGCTCTTGCTCAGGGCACTCCTCTTTTGACGTTGTCTTGTGGTCATAAATACCATTTCCAATGTCTAGCATCGAACATCAAAGCACAAAATAAAGAATGTCCTTTGTGTCGTGCTAAAATTGAAGATTCGGTTATTCAAACATTTGCACGCCCTGTTCAGCTGTCATTACAACAACAACAACCGATTAGACGTCCACCTCGTGACGTAAATGTGAGTAATTAAATGTTTGGTAATTTCCATTTTTTGTCAATTCTTATATCGTCTAATTAATTCGTAAGCGAAACAAGTCCGAATCTAACATAATTCATTCTATTCATAACATTTTTTTAAAAATTAATTCGCCTAATACCAAATCGATCGTTCCATCTAAGTTGGCTTTTGTCTGAATTAGAAGGTTGTGAGTGAAGGGTGTGGATGTAGGTATTTCTCTCTTCACACTGACAATCACACTCATATCCGATATGATAATCGACTGAGATCGTTACCAAGTTGAATGACATTCAATTGGTTTGTTAATAAAGTAATTATATTTACTGAAATGTTGTAAATAGAATAAATCATATTTTATCTGAATTTTTTCAACTTTGAATTGATGTGGCGATATTATAATCGGCGACAAACAGACTTTGTTAGAAATGGGCTAAACCACATGTTTCACTTTTGTATAAGTATGATCAAAAGTTTAGGAATAAGTCAATGTTGATAATATCGTATAGGTTGTTCCTTCGGTTGAAGATCTCATCGATGAGGTTGCTGTACGAGAACTTAGCGATCGTCTTGCTTCTGCTCGCCAGACGGCAATCACTTCATCTAGTGATACTGACAATCTTCCATTGGTAACTGTTTCAACAACATTAGAATATGAAGCTCAAGCTTCGCATGAAGAATCAAATATTTATGGCCTTGTCACTCTTCAAGCACCAACTGTTATCCAACCGGTAGAGGCCGAATCGCTTGTGCAGTCTCATATTCCAATTGATCTTGTTTGTGTTGTTGATCAAAGTGGATCGATGTCAGGTGACAAAATAGCCTTATTGAAACAAACTTTGATCTATATTGTCGAAAAAATGAATGAACTTGATCGGCTGGCCATTATTTCATTCAATACTACCGCTTTTGATCGTTCACATGGTCTTAAGCGGATGAATCAACAAAAGTAAGTCTAATATTCGTTCATAAGGAAATATTTGTTGATAGCTCAGCAGAAATTTTCACTAGAAATTATGTAGAGTTATCGATTCAGATGTTTTGATTTCAAATCTAAAAATAGTACAAATCATTGTCTAACTATTGCAAACTTATATGTTAGTACCGCCCAGTATCCGTAGATTGATCCGTTTTGTTACTTGTACGCGAAAAGCGCTAAGCTTCAATATAGAAATATGGTATAACATATTGTCTAGAGTAAATTTCCCAGTTTTTTTTCTCTGTAATGTGCTCCTAAACAAAGTGAACAACACATATTTCGTGTCTGATTAATTTTGTTTGCGTCATCTTAGTAAGTTATGGTACAGAAATTCATGCCGGAAAAGAGGAAAGCATCTAAATCTACTTGTTGATATGAACTATTAAAGAACAGACGAACAAATGAACAACCATAAATTTGGATTAGAAAAGTTGTTTCATACATCTCATTTAGACGGTTTCTTGACTCGTTGAATGTGACACAATATAATGTTTTGTACAAGTATTCTTTCCATATAAAATGTTAGATAACTGAGTATTTGAGAGAAGAACACGACTTAAAAAACAAAACATGTTCTCTATAGCATTGTGTTGATGTGAAATGCTCAGAAAATGTTTACTAGGATTTTTCATCGAAGTAATTTCATTACCAATTCGATAATCTTTGAAATTGATGCCCTTTATTTAATAAATTGGCATACTTTGCGTTTGTGTCTCAAGAAACCTGCCTTGCCAGATGTTATTTTGAAAATGAAAAAAGAACTAGTAAGATAGTTTTCGACAATTTTTTTAGCAAACAGATCGTGATTAATGCGATCAATACTGATATTACCAGTGAAGGTGGCACTTATATTGGAAGTGGACTACAAATGGCCATCAACTCATTCAGTAGTCGTCAAACAAAAAATCCATTGAATGGTTTGCTCTTACTTACCGATGGTCAAGACAATGACAGTCATGACTACACGCAACTAATGCAAACTTTACCCAGTGGTGTTCAATGTCACACATTTGGTTACGGATCCGATCATGCGGCTTCATTATTAGTGCAGTTAGCCGAGCAAGGAAATGGCGGTACATTCACTTATATTGTAAGTTGAGCTTGACTATCTGATTTTCAAATTATCATGATTAACAGTGTTATTCGTAAATCTTGTTAACAGGATGAAGAACACGCTATAGGTCCTGCATTTGCAATGGCTCTCGGTGGCCTATTTACATGTGTTGCGCAGAAGCTTCATATCAACATCGAGTTCACTGAAGGCTATAAAATCACTCATGTCCATTCGAAATATAAATATGAACCTGAACAATTGCCCTCAGCCAAACTTAATGTCAAGTTGCACGATTTGAATGCTGAAGAAAAGCGGAACTTTGTTTTTCAATTATATGTACCCAAATGGGACAATAACGAACAAAATGTAGACATGACTAGTCAACAACTAATGTCTTTGTCTCAATCTTCAAAAGAAATACAATTATTTAAAAATCAAATCATTGGTAAATATCCGCAAGAGCTGACTTCTTTTTGTGAATTGGACATTATCAACAGTGTTCAATTGTTTTTTCTCTGAATAGGTAATGTAACCGTCGTCTACATCGATCCCAATAGCCGTCGCGCAATAACAACAGATCCAGTTTCGTTCAATTTAGTTCGAAGTTCTCATCCTCCATCTGATTTGCTTCGCGTCAATCATGTGCTTGATATACAACGAAATCGTGTAGAAACAGCACATGCACTGGCACAAGCAATGGCCGAGGATAACTATCGACAATCACGTAATATTCTCAAAGCTCAAGTAGAGAAGATCAAGACCAGTGTATCTGGACAAGATCCTTTCTGTCAAAAGTTAATTAAAGATCTTCAATACCGCTATTCATCAGAACGTGCTTATCGATCATCACATCAAAATAATTATGTATGTCATGGAACGGAACGTGGCACATACACACCGGCAAGCAATATAAGCTCACGACAGTATGTTAGTTTCAATCAACAGCAAATGGTTTTTGATTTTGTAAATAATAAAACTTCATAAAATTTTACAGCATTAAATGTAATCTCAATATATTTCTTCACTTTACATTAAAATAAATCTAGAGAACACATCTTTTCGTCTATTTATTCCTGTTCTGTACTCCGATCAGTCACTTAATCTTTTACATTGGCTTTTTTTTGTTTGATATTTTGGAGAAACAGTTCGGTATGATAAATATACTTCGCTTATTAATGCATGCATCAATAAAATGATCATTTTCTATGATTCAATTGGACACTACGTATTATTTCTTCTTTTCTTGTAGTACAACTAAAGATCCAGAAAATATTCATATGCCTAAAAGCCCGTGAATATATATAGAACGGAATACAAAATACATGTCGAAACAGACTTATAATTCAAATTTTCTTTTGATGGGAAATAATAGATGAAAGACTTTTACATTTCAAATAGCAGAAACGAAGGACGATAAACATTTTTGGGCTTGTTCTTCACCATCGAGTAGTTTTGATAAAACCTTAAATGTTTTTTCAGATCTTCTAAAATTGATAGAATGAGCACAAACAATTGACAAGGGAAAATAAAGTTGCCAGTTTTAATGAAATCATATATAAGTGATGGTGCATGTGAGTACGTTGTGTATTTACAGATGAGGAGAAGTAATGCACATATTTTGTGTTTATTTGCAAATGCAAAAGAAAATATGGTTTTACCAAGCAAGATAACGACAGAAAAGCATATTTGAATTTCTAGTAACATGAGTCAGATTTCTATGAAACCTGTGAGAGAGTATTTAAGCTCAAACACGCGATTCATTGCATTTTTTTTTCGTTAAAATGAATCACCAAGTCATCCATTCATAATTGAATATATATGTATTAACAGCTGAAGTATCAATAATTTAGGCAACCGTCAATGTAATTTTCTAAACTGAGCCATCTTTTTACAAAATTGAAAAAATCCAGAATTAAATAAGTGTGGTAGATTAGTCAAACTATTATTCATATTAAAACTGAAATAATTATTGCTTTTCATTGGTTTGTTTTTGTGGTCCTAATTCTTATTGTTTTTCACATGTTGAATCAAATTTGTTTTCTCTCAATTAGTTCAAATCATATTGGTTGGTAAACATTCTTTAGTTTTATAATCTTATACACAGGAAAGTGACTCATCAATAGCGCATATCTTTCCCTTTGGTAATTAAATAGTTATATAAATATTAAGTTTTGCCATTAGAATGTTGTTTTTAGTAATAACAATGTTAAATCAAAAAAATACGAAATATGAAAGTGAAACATAATGAGAAAATAACAACAATGAAAATGAAAAATAGGTATAAGAAAAATAACGTACATTTAATTCTCAAAAGTCAATCTCGGTTTTAACATTAAGAACTAACAGTCAACACCTGAGATCGTTATTGAGGGAATATTTAACATGATCTGTATTTCGAAAAAAAAAAAGAATATTCGTTTTTTTTTCGTCAAGAAAAGAAAAATAAAGGTAACATACAACCGTCAGCTTTATAAAACGTTTTTTCTTTTTATTTTGTCAAGCAACGTTAGTAAGTAATTTATTATTTCTAACAGCCAGCTCATACAGGTATGCTCGTAAATGAAGGTTAGTCGTTGTATTTTGCCATATAGCATGTCTACGTATTACAATCGTATTTCTTTACATTGTACAAGGAGAAAGACATACAGCTTGTATACAGATTTTGTTTACTTCGTGCTCGACAGTTTTTTTTTCTCTACACAAGAATATGATGTATTCATTGAAAGAATAAATGCATTAGTGAATATATTATGTGCATTTTGTTGTGATTATAAGAAACGAACGAATGTAGATCGATGATTTCATTTCTGATTTTTCTATGTTTAAAATAACCAAATGATATGTTGATTAGACTTGATATACTCAACTAGCATACAATACTAAAAACTTCTTTATATGATTTTAATTATTTATATTTATAGAGTTAGATTTTCTTCGACAAACTATATTTGAGTTAATTCAAACTTGAAAGATAAGAGAAATATTTTAGTATTGTCTAAATCTTCTATGCAATGTTATTTATAAGATTATAGAAGACATTGCTGGGCTTAAATATCTTATGTCAATAACCAAACTACTTGATTTTACAAGAATGAAATCGTCTAAAAGAAAATGAGAAATCTCTAACAGAGGCAATTCTTTTAAGACATTATTTGGTAACTTTATAAATGAATAGCCAATATTCGTAGAAATATTAGTTTTATTCATGTTGATTTCTTTATTTAAAAAAAAAACAAAATCTGACAGTTTTCTTTTCATATGAATTGATTGAGTTTTATTTTGCATTCTTATAACAGTATAATTCACCTTGATACATATATATTTGAAATTGATTAGATTTTATCTTTCATTCGTCCTTATATTGTACAAAAGTTAATTTATTCTTATGCATTTCTATTGTTAAGATGTCATTTGGAGAAGAACAACGCATTATTCTTATAACTGGTGCTAACAGAGGCATTGGCTTTATGTTAGTAAAACAACTATTGAAAGAATATCCATCAGGTAGTACTCTTATTCTACTCGGTTGTCGAGATTTAAAAAAAGGTGAAGATGCATTCACACAGTTAAATTCTCCATCTAATGTTAAACTTCTTCAATTGGATACATCTTCAAGGGAGTCGATTATTCATGCAGTTGATCAAATAAAACAATTCTACGATGGTAAATTAGATGTTGTTGTTCATAATGCTGGTATATTTACAACAGAAATAACAGCAGATGCAGCTAGGGAATTATTTAATACAAATTATTATGGAATAAAAATACTTAATGAATATTTAATTCCTCTTATGAGAGAAAATGGTCGAATAATAAATGTCTCTAGTCGAGTTGGTGCTATTATATTACAAGAAGCTTCTAAATCACTTCAAGATAAATATACATCATCAACATTGACAACAGATCAACTTGATCAATTAGTTGAAGATTTTATATCATCGATTGAGAAAAATAAACTTGAATCTCTTGGATATAATTCCAAATCAGACTTTCTAATCTATGGTGTTACAAAGGCGGCATTAAATGCTCTGACACAAATTGAAGCACGTGAATCATCGAATAGAAAAAATTTATTCTTCATCAGCGTAACTCCAGGATTATGCACCACAGATATGACTCGAAATTTGCAAAATACACGTCCACCTGAACTTGGTGCTAATTCGATTTTCTATGTAATTAATACTTCTCGTGATCAACTCAAAAATGGTGCTTTTTATCGAGATGGTCAACAATTACCATTAATCAACGAATCGATTATTATTAAAGAAAAAGGCAATGAAAATAAAATCAATCAAGTGAATAATTAACGTTGAATTCTAAAATGAGGATCAAATGAAAGTTGAGAGTTACTCTTTCGAACACAATCGATTCTCTTCTTCTAGACTTTAACTAAATTCTATATGATCATTAGATGAAATCAATCACTTTAATAAACTAAATTCCATTTTTTTTTGTCTTAAATAATTTTATCTTATCAAATATGTAAATCTATCAGAAATGTCAATTATGTAATAAACATTTATTCTTTTTTTTATTGTTAAAATAATATAGATGCTCAGTTACTTGTGTAATTACAAATGTATCCTTGTGCTTAAGGTTTTACTCATAAAAGTGATTCATTTTAATGTCACAAAAAAATACATTTCAATATTCTTTTTGAATATCTGAAGAATGAAAGCAGCTAAAAATCTACGGATTTCATGGCATCTAGAGCAAATATAGGCTCGTACAACATGCAAAACTCACACCTAAACCAGCTAATAATTTCGAGATATGCATACTTCTAGTTTGCGATGTCATGTCGCTAACGAATGATTTAGCCCATATATATATATATGATTATTATTTATTTTATTCAACAACTTTTATTTGAAAAATAAAATAAAATTTTACGATGATCTTCTAGTTGAAATGATTTATTGAAAATATAATTGATTATCAATAAAAATCCAAGAGTTGCTTCATTTGATAATCATCAATAGAAATACTCAACTCTAATGACTTTATTGTAAACTATGAAATTTATCTTTAGCGTCGAATATAGATTTATTTAAGAATATTTTAGTGAAATAAATTAACTTGATATAACACAAAATAGATGAAGATATTCATTTTAATTTTATTGATGTGCGATATTTTTAAAAGCTTTTCATAATATGTTATTTGATGTTATTCTTTAATTCTTTATATGTTTCGACTATTTGAACTACCAACAAAAAGAAAAAAATATTTTAATTTATTTATTAAGGAAAATAAATAAAAATTTACAAATATAGATATGACTGGAAATATGATTTAGAAAAAAATTTAATATTTAGCTTCTTAAAATTTATAATTTATTCGTATTCAATGGACATCACTGAAGAAATTTAGAATTGAGTCTAAATTTTTCAACTTTAGTTATATCTTTTTCAAATTTATTTTTAATAGAAAACTTCACATAACGATAATATATCAAATACTATTGGGTTGTAACATAAGTTCTGCCGGTTTTTTTTGTCAACCAACAATATTTCACTGTCTTTTTCGAATCATAACCGGCTAGTTTCTGCAAATGTCTGATTGAACAATTGCTAGAAAGATGGGCCCAAGTTTCGAAAATAATGGCGATTGTATTGTTGATTGATGTTGCATATCTTTGTCGCAAAATAAATTTGTTCATTAACAACAAAACTTGCAGAACTTATGTTACAACTCAATAAGTTTGATTTTAACATCCTCTCAAAAACTGATCATTTAGGAGATAATAAAAATTACATGGTTTTTTTCTCATACATTCAAAAAAATGGTTTATAGAGAAAATCACATAATTATTGATGAAAAATGTTTATATTTATTTATTTGTTAGAACAAATAGACAAGAGTTGAAAAAAACGGTGTTCTTACACGTAAAAAGCGCACATTTTTACGCGTTAAAAAACGTTTTTTTCTTTGAATCAAATGATTTCTACAATATAAACATTCACAAGCTTTCCTTATTTTCCGAAAAAAAAATCAAATTGCATAAAACGTTAAAATGTGCGCTTTTTACGCGTAAAAAAGTCGTTTTCTGCAACGCTTGTCTGACTGGATAATATAAGATGTTTGGTTATTCTACCGGATGACTCTTGGTTTAACTCTTATACATCTCAGTATGTCTACAATCTCTGATTCTTTCATATTCAACATAAGGATGGTGTTGAACAGAGTTGGTGAACGGAACTATCATAGCAGGGTGATCCTTGTTAACTTTTGCTTTGTTCTTAAAATACTACCTTTTCTCAGGAAGTTGTTTTTAAAGTCCTTTAAGTGTTAAAACCTTCGATACTTGTATAACGAATGCATGATAAGTTTGAATAACTGCCTTAAATTCTTTTATTTTGATTTGGATTCTTGTTTCCTTGGTCTGCTAATAATAACGATATGAGAGAATCAATAAATCGAAAAGCAACATCATAAAAATTGCAAATTCTTCTACGGATTAAATGGATCTTGATGGTGGCACTTAGTAAGGTATGCTCTGGATAGAGTACATCTAGTTCTACCTTGGTCAACTGGTGGCCTAGTTTAGTCTAACCTATAGGCGAGCAATGTCACAAAACACTCGAATTCTGGTGTAAGATATTCTACGTTTAAATTTTAAAAAACCTCAATCGGTCCCACATCTGTTTCAGATAGCGCTGAATGAAATACCTTCTCCTGTTTTACAAAGGCGTACATATTTGTTTGACGTCGAATTAATGAACACAGCATCACAAAATAGAATCGAGGAAGAGGTTTTACGAAAAAAACCTGAAAGTGTGATGGATCAATGCATAGACTTTTTTCTATGGAAAATGGGCGCAGTTGATGGTTCGTCGTGGCTGCTAGGTACATGAAATAGGGGCGACTACGAATCTTGCGGTTCATGTTATTGATTAACTACATAAATGTATACAGCTATTCGAAGATATTTTACTTTGTTTCTATGTAATGGATTAATGTTTTTATCAAACATAGAGAACACTGCAATTGTATTTATGACAGAGTGTGGGTTTGGGCGTGGTATCAAATTCGCTTCATTAAAATTTCACACTCACGCACATCCGAAATATACCAATAAGGTTTCTTTTATCCATTAAAAAAACTTTCATGTTCATGTTTTCTCATTATATTTCTAACAATTTCTACAAAGGGAAACCTAAAACATATCCATTTTGATTGCTATTCAACTGTAAAAGTTTATCATATTACTGCAATAATAGAAAAAGTATTGATTAAGTCTAACATTTATTTTGTTTATCACATGATATCACCAATGAATATTTTTGATAATTCTTTTTTTTTTAATACAATAATTCTATTGTAAAACAGATGTGCTTTTAAGATGAATCAGCCTTACATCAAACACATTCACGTCATAATTTATCTATTTTACGAAAAGAGTAAAATATTTTTTTTTAATGCGTTATATCAAGCTGATTTATGTGAGTCATACAGAAGATTAAATTTATTAACCTTTGATAAAAGCAAAACGCACTAAAAATTCATCGTTATACGTCAAACTATTGTCGTCATTCTATTTCTCACTTGACTGATGAGTCAACTCTTCTATGCTTTCTGCAGCAACCATTTTTTGTTATTTTTGCTTTTGCTTTCTGCAAAAAATGTGAGTAATGTTGTTTCTAGAAGGGACGACACATGACGTCTTTCTTTCTGCTTTGCGATTATATATATTCAGCTCTTGCAATTCTAGTTTATATCCGTTACTAGACAAAACTATCACATACAACTAATTTTTCAAGCAAATATGGGTAGTAGTTATTCACATTATCACCATCACCATCCACACTATGGAGCACATCATTATTCTCATCATTTTGGTCCAGGTCATCACCATCACATGGGCCCCGGATTTGGTTTTGGTGGTCATCATCATCATCATCATATGCATCATGGATTTGGATTCAATCACCATCACGGTGGCTTTGGTGGAGGTCATCATGGACATTGTTAATAAATTCTATATCATGTAAAGAAATTTTTATCTATGTTATACACTATTTATTGTGAAAATAAAAACTTGTTATAGACGCATTTTCGGTTGACTTATTCATTCTGATATCTGTTAGTTACGTGTGTGATGACGTTTGATATTGTGTCTCACTTAATGAATAGTAAAGTTGCAAAAAATCCGTTCACATCTGTGTAAATAAGACACTATATTTTACAGAGAACATTGTTCTGTGTTCTGGAAAAGAATTTATCGTAGTTGCTCTCGAACGACTCTCGAGTTCAATTTTACGTTCACTACAATAAGAGTGTGAGTGTCGATGTGGCTGTGGCTTTGGGTATGAGTTGTTTTTAAATGCGCAGTCACACTCACACCCACACCTATGATGAGATTATATCATATGAAGGAATAGAATAAAGTGTAATACCATCAGCACTAATACCCCTTCTATCAAAAATCTTCACATTACTATTTTAGCAATAAATTGAATTTTATTAATGTTTTTATTATTTTCCATGTATTTCTATGCATATTAGATATTTTTATATCGTTAATAACAATTGTAATCTTATTCAATCGTTTATTTTTTTCTTGAAATTTAACTAACGAATTATATATAATTAATAAACCAACTACTATGCACTTTAATCTATAGGTACCTATTAGTGTCATCGAATTTTTGCCATAAATGCATATTTGCATATTTTGCTAAATTTGTATCAACAAATCCGATCGTCTATATACTCATCATAATATTTATTTTCTGCTGTTACTGAATTTGTTTTTAACTCCAATGTAACATTATAGTTATGACTAGTCAAACCATCGATAATCCAAGGTTTTTCACATCCATTTTTTTCAATAAATAAATAGTGACATGAAATAATATCAATATGAAGGTATAATATCAAAATATAATAGATCGTAGACGTACGCTTTTGCGTATTAATAATTTCAGTAGAGAATTACTGAAGAATGATGAAGAAAAGTTAAGCTACCGTGTTTTATATATTGAAAATCAATAAAAAAAGACGTAAAACTAATATGCACAATTGCAGCTATTCGATATTTATACGAATAGGGTGTGGGTGTGGGTGTAGAACTTCATTTCACCTACACCCACACCCACATTCACCCCCCCCCCCCACACCCACATCCATCCCACCCACACCCACACCCATCCCCATACCCGCCACCCACACACCCACACCCAAATCAAACGGGCTGAAATTTTCAGGATATGTTGGGGCTATAATGGAGAGGCTATGGTAAAATTTTCAGCTCGATACCACGATGTTTGACAGAGATATGAACCAAACAAGGGTCGTAAAATATATAGTTCATTTTCTGTCCAAGATTTCTTGGGCCAGACTCATGCTACATGTTTAAATTTTTTTTGCTAGAAAGAGCATGTCAAGATGCAGGGCATCACAGAGTCCTTTTTTTAAAACTCTTACTTTTTTAGCGAAGAAAGGGAATTACAAGTTCAATGACTCAAAAAAATAGGTATCTACTCCCCATTTCAAAAAAGAAGGCGGGTGGGTATTTTTTGAATAACTTTTGATAGAAACAAGATAGAGAGCTGCGATTTTCACTGTTGGAAAGAGCGGATGAAAACGCATCGAATCATTTATTACAGTTTTTTCTAAGATGTTTTCTAAAGGTTTTTTAATTAGTTTTCGGAAAAAAGTGTCGGAAAATCGGTATCTCGTAAAATAAAAAAATGAAAAAAAAAAAACGATTTTTCAAAGAAATTAATACAAAAAACGACTTAGACTTTCGAGTAGAATACGTAAAACTCCTGAATGATTGAATTTAACCGTGTGAGTCTTCGGTAGTTTTGTAGATCTTCGAGTAGCGCTTCGAATGCACACCCGATTATTGGAAATTCATTGTAGTCACCTTACCGAGTAAGTTGGTTTTCCAAACGACCAATTTAGGTACTTAAAAATATCAGATAAAATTATTTTGTTATAAACAGTTTTATGCGTTTTCATCTCCTCCTTCCAACAGTGAAAACCGCAGCTTTCTACCTCGTTTTTATCAAAAGTTATTCAAAAAATACCCACCCTCCTTCTTTTTTGAAATAGGCAATAGTTACACAAATGTCTGTATATATAATAAAAATAAAGCTTAATTTAAAAGAAGGACTCTGGTGCCCTGCATCTGGACATGCTCTTTCCAAGAAAAAAAAATTTTTAAAGTGTTGAAAGAGTCTAGACCGAGAAATTTTGGACAGAAGATCAAAAAATCATAAATCGAGAAAAAACGAAAAAGATTTTTTGGTTTTTCAAGAAATTGCTAGTATTTCGAAAAGCGGTTCTCAGAAATCTTGAAATTTTTGGGAAAAAAGTGACGTATCGAAGAAAAACTTTTATCGTTTATCAAAAAGCAAATGATGGGCTATCTTCCTATGCATTTATCTCAATTTCGAAAATTCTGACGAAAATTGACATTTTTTGAGGGAGGGGAGGCCTTAAAGGAATTGTTTTAGCACAATTGAAGTATTCGTAATTATCTTAACTTTCAGCAACATATTGTCATGCCTTTTCCAATGTATAAGACTAGCAGAAAGTCATAGTTAGTTTAAACAACATGACTCAAACAAATATCATGCATATATTGTTAATATATGTATTTCATTCTTTGTTCAAAAGCATTCTCATCGAAAAAAGTTGCTTTGAAAATATTCAAATAATTTATCATATTCCTTATTCAGCATAACTGCTGTTTATACAGTTATGTGATTAAATTTCACCAACACAAATATTCACGTACCTTGTAAGTGAATATTCAGACGCACCTGAATGATTCTTGTTTATTCATTATGTTATTCACTACTGATTCATTTTTATTTAGTATAAAAACTGAGGACAAGAACAGAAAGAGCAAGGTAGTTAAAGAGAAATCAAAATGTCGACAAATAAAACTGAATTTGACAATTATTCAACAATGAACGATGTCGAATATCTTACGATGTCATCAACATTTACTGGTGAAAATATTTATTCAGCAAATGTTGATATTACTAATAATACATTGACCAATTTGGAAGAAACTTATCAACATTCATTATCAAACCATGAAGTTGATGAATTAGTCAATCAATTAAGTGCAATAGATTATAAGAAGGATCCTCTCGATCAAGAAGATTCAAATTCGGAACATATTCAAAATCATCATAACGCACAAATTCGTGATGAACAGAATATAACGGCGGATAATTTACAATCGCCTACTCCACTTTCATCAGATTCTGTTACTGATCGTGAAAATTCATCACCAAGTATCACTCAAGAATATCCATCTGTTCAATCTCCTACTGAGCTACCTACTGTAACTGTTGAAAATTGGTCTACCGATAAAACATCTCCAGAACGATCTGCTGCAATCGAACAAATTCAAGAATTAATACAAAGACTAGCACCAGAAAATACGACTTATACATATGATATTCCTCATAGTGAAGTTTTACAAAATGTTCGTCAGATTATAACTATTATTACGAATCCACATGTGTATGATTCTCAAAATGATTCACATATATTATCAAATGAATATGTTACAGCTACAGAACCAACACCTTTTTCATCAATAACAAATCAATATCATGATTACCAAGTTTTCGACTCGAATGTTAACAGTGAATCATCATTGATAACTTACGAACACAATGATGTATCAAATACATCTCAATTGATAATGGATGAAAATGATGAATACCTAGAAATACCTACAGAAGAAATCATCCTACCTGATGAATATAATTCGACTGCAAATGATCTTTATGAATCAAATGCTTTACATGAAGAATATATTTATAATTAAGATTTTGTTTTTTTCTCTCTACATGACAAAAATTGTAAAGAAAATTGCTTTTAATTAAGAAACTTTGCTATATATTATTTAAATAAATTGAAATACATTACGTGAAAATGTGGCATATTTACATGATGCTATCTAAAATAAGAAGTTAAGAAAATTTAGATACTTATCAGATTATAAATTGTTGAGCCTATTAATAGTCTTTGTTAAGTAAAATAAAGAGACTAATATAATAATGAAAAGAATGTCATTGAATATTTATGAATTTTCTTTTATTTTTTGATTTTGTATGAGATGTGGGTGTGGGTGTGGGTGTGTGGGGTGTGGGTGTGGGTGGATGTAGGTGTGGGGGGTGGGTGTGGGTGTGTGGATGTGGGTGTGGCTAGGTGTAGATCTAGTTCTTCTGTTCTCTCCACCCACACCCACACCCACACACCCACACTCACCCCACCCACACCCACATAAGACAATCCTTTTATCTAATGATTCACATCGAAATTAATACTATTTTATAGAGAATTAAATTCTGCATCTAATATTCTCGATTAGAAATTGAACACAGTTAAAATAGCGAATCGAAACATAAAATAGTCGAATCTGATGCTAACTTCACTTATGTATTTTCTTGACAAACAGGTGAAGCTACATAAGCAAATATATCTTGAGACATCAACTGTGCTGCTCAAATCAGAGATGGGCAGCTCCGACCCTTTCTCGCTCCAGCTCGAGTCACTAATGATGCGCTCCGCCCCGACTCCGCTCCATGCTAGAAAATTTCGCTCCAGCTCCACTCTAACTTCGCTCTAGCTCCGCTTTAACGAAAAAGCTTTTTCTGCTATTTTTCTTGAAGTTAGATGATATTCAATGAATTTCACGTTTTGCTTCAGCATACATATATATATAAATAGAGAATATAGGAAAACAATCATTAATAATGTAATTAACAAAAAACTAATTATCAATACATTTAACAAAAAATGAATCGTCAATACATTTAAGTTAACTTGATTACAACATGAAAATTATTTCTGATGATAAATAGACTAGTGAACTACAATAATTATCGATTGCATTTTAGTAAAGTTAACATTGAGAACATATTCTTAAAGAGTGAATGTGGGTTTAGTTTAGATCAAGATGAGATAAAAACCAAGACCCACACCCTAGTTTGTTCCTTCAACTTTCAGTTGAATGAAAAATGTTGTTCTGTTCTATATTACTCGATTCTCTCACATTTTATTTGCTTTAATTTTTTCTCTTCGTCGGCGTCGTGTTCGTACATTGTCAAACTAACAATAGCGGAGTCCAATCAGCCATAGAAACATCAACCAAATGAACGGTCAGTCATTATCTCAAGAGTTGTCATTGATTAAAATGTAACAATGACATATTCATTACATTGAATACTAGACAACGAGCCTTTCTTTCACTAATTCCCCCGTCTTCGTTCACAGAAGAAAACCCATGTAAAAATGTTAGGGATAAAAAAAGATTAAAATTTGATGAACCAAATTGATTATGATTCATGCAGATCGATAAATATCAGCTGAAGATTTTTCATGAACCACGAACAAAATCAATTAAAATCGAATTTTTATCAAATTTTAATCAATTATAATCGAAATTAATCGGAAAAGGAGCGTATGGTTGGAGCTAGAGAGAAAAAGACCCAAGGGGGAAACGGCGGATTCCGCATTCCCGGGATTCCCAAGATTCCCAGGATTCCCACGGGATTCCCAGGATTCCCACGGGATTCCC